AGGAATCCTTGATTAAAAGTATTTTGTTGTTGTTTTTTTGAGATGCAGTGCCCACAGCCAAAGAAGCAGGACTCCTGGGCTCTCTGCTCTGCTATTTTTTTTCTACATCACTTGATGTACCTGGCATGAGATCTGGGTCTTTTGTGCAATTTCCCAATTCCACTGTCCTTGTTTGTTTGCTGAGTCAAGGTAAATATCAGGTAAAACTCATGACCACTACTCCAGCTCCATTTCCAGGTTAAAACTCAGATAAGTGGTTACCAAGAGCTAACAAAGAAGATGATTAACCAAACCCCTGTTTGCAACGGATGCATCATCCCTGTGATATAAGCTCAGACTCTTCCAGTAACTGAACCAGCAGCAAGGGTCTGCCATTTGGAGTCCAGGAGAGCAGACTGTACTTTAAAAAGGCCCTCTTATAGGTGTAGGAGTAAGCTTTCCTGATAATTTCATAGTTTCATAGTAGCTAGGGTCAGGAGGGACCTGAACAGATCATCTAGCCTAACCCCCTGCCACAGGCAGGAATGAATGCTGGGTTCACAAGACCCCAGACATGTGATCATCCAACCTCTTCTTGAATTTGTCCAAGGTAGGGGCAAGGACCACTTCCCTGGGAAGTTGGTTCCAGATTTTGGCCACCCTAACTGTAAAATATTGCCTTCTGATCTCCAACCTAAACCTATTCTCCACCAGCTTATGACCTTTGTTCCTCGTCACCCCAGGTGGTGCTGGGGAGAAAAGGGCTCTGCCTATTTGCTGTTGATCTCCCCTGATGAGCTTGTAGGCAGCCACTAGGTCTCACCTCAGGTTCCTCTTGCTGAGACTGAACAGGTTGAGGTTCCCCAGCCTCTCCTGGTAGGGCCTGTCCTGCTGCCCTCTCACCAAGCGGGTGGCCCTCCTCTGAACCCTCTCCAGGCTGGCCACATCCCTTTAGAAGTACAGCACCCACTTGCATTGATGCAATGGAAGAATGGGAAAAGTAACAGGAAGCCAGTGTGGCTAGACAATGATCTCTTGAAAGAGTTGAAACTCAAAAAGGAATCCTATAAAAAGTGGAAATTTGGTCATAGTACTAGGGAAGAGTGCCAGAGTATTTCACGGGCATGCAGGGAGAAAGTGAGGAGGGCCAAGGCACAATTTGAGATGTAGCTGACAAGGCTGAGGGAAACCCATTGTCTCCAGAGATCCTGTTTCATAACAATTCATCTCTTCTTCAAATGCAGTCACATGAGCTCTGTGAGTATTTCCCACCAACCACAGAGCACCAGTCAACCCCAGTGGTTCAACAGAAGGGCTCTGCGGCAAATTGTTTGTGGATGGAAAGCAACCCACCAGCTGTAGTTTTCCCTACTTTTGCTTCTAGAAGAAGCAAAAAGGTTCTAGCTTACAAAAGAAGGTTTTCTTCTTTTGTAAGCCTTTTAAGGCTGCCAGATATTAGCAAGTATTAATGGAAGACTAAATGAGTTCAAGGTTGTCTAGCTGGACACTGTACAGATGCACAAGGAGAGGCAGCCCCTGCCTTTGCTGAGATCAAGGCCCCACTGTCCAGGCACTGCACAGATACACAGTAGAGGCCAGCCCTGCTCCGGATATCCTATTCAAGATGGACTGGCACAAAGTGAGGCAGGAGTTCAGTGACAGAGCTAGGAATAGCATCCCACAAGGAGGAGCATTATCTAGCACATGCATGTGTTTCACTGCCCTCTTGAGGGGGGACATCTGACCTGGCCCATGTGCAAAAGAGAAACTGGGTCTAAACCTGTGCAAATATCAGGGCCTCCTTTTTCCCCCCATGGTGGCTTGTGCATCCTAGGGCTCTGGCATTGCAGGTGCTGATATCAGACTCCTACACACTGGATAAGCAGGTACAGTGGTATACAGAAGAACATCTGCATCTCCACTGCTTGCCAGCTGAGTGTTTCCTTTGGTGGGGTGCTAAAGGTTGTAGATTCAGTGCTCAAATGCACTGCTAAATGGAGAGGGGAGGTGAGATGGAGTTGTGTTCTCTGCTTAAAACCTACTGCCAGGGCCTTCCCATGGTAACCTCAGGCTGACAGCCCACTAGTATGAGTGCTGGCTTGCTAAAACCCAAGACCCTGGGGTTTAGGCCATTACGCAGGCACTGGGTGATAGCCCAGTGGGATGAGGGCTGCTATGCTGATGCTGTAGGCTCATAGCCTGCCCCCCTCTGCTCACTAGTTCTCTGCTTAGCCACTGGGTGCTAGCCCTGTGGCTGGAGGACGAGCAAACCACTAGCTGGGGAATTTCTCCTGGTGGGGTCTGTCATGCTTCCCAAACTCAGCAAAGGAAACATAAATCTTTTTTGCTACAGGGTGGCCAAGCTCCACTCCAGTCTTCAGGCAGGGTGACTGGTTGCACAGGGGAGATTAGGAGCACTACATGGGACCTTTCCCCTCCAGGGAGTTCAGGCTCTGTCCAGCCTCAGACCACAGGGTCTGGGTGGTCTGGGGAAGGGGTTCAATGGTCATTGGCTCTGATGCAGGCCCTGCTCAGCCATCAGCTAATGCCGATCAGTGACTGGAGTGAAATGAGAAGGCAGGTTCCTCCTCCTATTAAATCTATGAAGCACTATTACAAGTTTCCTCCCTTGTAATGCGACTTGACAAGAGGTAAGGTGCTCCTCACCATGCTTGTCAGAGAGACTGAGGCTGCCTGCCTGCCTGGTGCAGCCAGCACTCGTGTATCCCACATGGCTGGTCCCCTCAGGCGCACAGCTGGGGCATGCTGGCAGAAGCAGAGGCCAATCGGTTCCACATGTGGCTGCCCTGGCCCCAGATTCAGCGACAACAACAGCAGGAGCCACTTCTGTGGTTGAGATCTTTATTACTGAGTACAGATTGCATAGTGCAAGTGGCTATCAGGAGGTGCCTAGAAATCCCCGCCCCCCCCTCCCACCATCCATGTGCAGGCATCTGGACCAATAGCTATGGTTCCCTGTCACTTTCTGCCCTTCAGGGGCAGGTGCTGCCAGGGAGATCCCATGGATGATGGCATTGACATTGTGCTGAGGTCGGGGCACAGTAAAGAAACCCTGAACCCAGAAGCCCTGCTTCCCAGCACCCTTTTATAATAACCAGATCTCAGCGGTACAAAGGAAAAAAAGAGCCTAGGAGTCCTGACTGTCTGGCCTGTCCCTGCTCCGACCCACCAGACCCCCAGAGCTGAGAGAGAACCCAGGAGACCTGTCTCCCAGTCACAATTAGTTGTCCACTTTCTCTGTTGATGACTCCAGTTCCTCACTGTCTGGCATCCCAGAGGTAGACAGGGGTAGGGTTCTGGGCTGGACTGTGAGCGGGATTCCCACGTGTGGTGGCTGGGTATCAGACACAGCAGGCGGGATGGAGACAGAGCTCTCTGAGAATGGTGGCTGGGCTGAGGACAGGGTCTCAGGTACAGTGGGTTGGACATCAGCTGGCTGGGAAGGGGTACTTGTCTCCGGGATGGGTGTGTCGACAGGCATGGATGGTGTTGGCTTAGTGGGTGATCTTGGAGGCCTTGTAGTGGTTGTGCGGATGAGATCCCGCAATGCAGGGATCCATGACCACAGAACATCTGGGGAGATACGCCTCATCTCCCGGTTCTTCTCAAGGTACTCAACCAAGGGCTTCAAGATTTCTTCCTCGTCAGCAGCTGTGACTTCTGATGACACCTCATTTTCTAAGGACTCCCACTCGGGCTGTGCCGAAGTGTCTGGGGCACCCCCTTCAGGAAGCTCGATGCTCCTGGGTGCCACACCTACAAAGACCACAAGGGAGACATGGGATTACCAAAACCGGGTCCAAAATAATTTAATTGTAACAGGAGAGTTACACTTTAAGAAGAACCCAAGAGACCAGCCTGACCCAGTCGAATTAGAGTATTCATGAGGACTATACAGACTGCAAAAAATCACAGAGATGTAAGTTATGATTTATCCCCATCTGTTGTAGCGCCGATTGCAATGGAGCATTCACACCTTTTACCACCAAGCAACTTCGAGGAAAACAGCCTATTCCAACTTTTCTCTGAGCCTAATCTGTATATAAAATGAATGGTTCCAAACAGGAGATTTCACCACACCTTCAACTCTCCTATGAAATATGAACTTTCGTTTCTACCCAGGAGAACTTTCACAATCTTTTCTCCTATGCTTGAAGAAGGGTGTTTGTGCCCGAAAGCTTTCAATTAAAAACTTATTTTTCTTTGCAAAAATCTAGTTAGTCTAATAAAAGATGCCACCTCTACCATGAGTCTGGGTTCCACACGTTTTAACATACCCACATTAATACTCTATCTCGTTACAGAATCCACAGAACAGGCCATACATTAATCACCACCTCATGACTTCCTTTCTGCTGGTTCCTTAGTTCATTTTAAATTATGAACTCCAGCAGGTCAGCAAAGCTTAAAGACATCATCAGCCAGCTGTGCACTGGTACCATGAAGATGACCATCTATACAAGTATTGATTTTATGTCTTTCTAATCATACCGGGCAATGTTATTACTGTGGTATCAACTTACAATAGCTATAAAGCATTCTGGGACTGCAGTTCATGGTTACACAACTTAAATGCAAAGCATCCTCAGAGAACAAGACATTAATAAGGTCTTGGCTAACAAAAATGCCAATTCATTTTCATCAGAAATATTAAATCTCTAGATTTTCCTATGATTTTGTTTTATTTTTCCCTGCATCACACCAGAAGCATTTCTGTTTTTCAAAACAATTATTTGGTCAAAATGTTTGGGTTTGGAAAAGAAAATGTTTTTCAAAAATCATATATGGTAAAATGTTTGGTTTTGATTAAAGAAAATCTGCTAAAATCTTAAAGAAACAAGTTTCTAATTTATGTTAGAAACATTAATTTTTGGTTAAAAAATCATGTTCGGTAAAAAAACACGTTTTAATGTTTTCAATTTTGAGGAGTTGTTTTTGATTCTAGGTTTTATTTGGGGTAAATGTATCATTTACAATAAAAATCATTTTTGAAAACCAAATAGAAAAATGGGGAGGGGAAAAATCAAACATTTTTATCTAAAAAATTCTTTGGTGTGATCACAGAATAAAAAATGTCACTCAAAGTATAATTTTCCATTGAACTGCTCATTTGGGTTGAAAAGACCACTTTTTAAACCATTTTTAACCTCTGATACCTGTTAATTCATTCCATGAATTGTGCAAACGGGGTGTATTGCCTCCCAGCTGAGAGGCTTCAGCATGGCTGAGTTCCAGACTGCAGCTCAGGCAGGGAGTGAGAGCGCTCTGCGTTCCCTTGGGTGGTGCAGGTAATCCCTCTTGTTGCACTAAAACATTTTGCAAGCTGCTGCCTAACTAGCTTGCTCTTGTCCTCCTTGCTTTACACAGTGTTCTCCTGTGCAGTCTTCTTCCCATGAGGCTTTAGCAAAATCAAGTCTGTTTTAACAGTGCCCTTCCTGGTACTAATAATGCCTTTGGGTGCTTCCCATGCCCTCCTGGTATTTGCAGCTCCTCCCAGCTTAGTGTAGCCCCCACAATTCAATTGACAGAGTTGCTGGCTGACAGCCTGTTCCAGATCAGAGTACGAGACAGCAAACTCAGCCGCGACTGAGACCATCAGTATGATGTACCCTGCTATAAAACAAGTCCTGAGTTCTGTGTGCTCCAGACACCTGGGGGTCATGGCATGCTGGGAGAAAAGCTTCACTTAAATCTTGCTTCCCAGTGATATGCCAATATTTTCTAACCCGTTTGTTCCCTGGTGTCTACTTAATATCTGAGCCCTGCTGACACCCCAGATACCCCTTCCTGCTGTCCTCCCACCACTCTAATCTGCCCCTAAAATGCCCAAGACAGTCCCCCATTGGGTCCTACCCACTCGTTTTAATTTTGTCTGCTCTCTCTACAGTCTCAAATATGCTTGCTCCGAGGGCTTTATGGCTAAGGGCAAGAAAAACTCAGGGGCATCCGAACCCCAAACCTCTGGGCTTGGACCTGCAAGTAGGATGTCTGCCAAAGGTTTTGGAAACATCTGAAGCCCCAGGTGTGGGTGAAGGATGTTTGCCGGTAGCAGGGCAACTTATGGTTCTGGACTCTTGGATTTGGAATTAGTTTTGGCTAATTTGGCCTCGGATACAAATTAAATAATTTTTTGTTTTAATTATCATGAAGTGCCCATGCTCAGCTCCCCAGCTAGTATCTAAAGGCAGGGGAAACACGCAAAATGTCGCATCCCCCGCAACTTTTTAGTATTCACTTTGGCTATTTAACCAGTGTTTGCACTGCAGCCCAGTGACAACAAAATTATCCTAGCCGTGCAGGCGCCCTACCATACACAGCTGCTTAGCCAAGTGGTCCTCAACCTTTTTACACTCAAGATACCCCCAGAACATGCCAGCTCTCAGCTTTCACTCATTTCTTGACTACAGAAAAATATTAGAGTCATTTTCCTGTTGCAAAGAACTCAGAAAGATGACAACAGATCAGAATGCTTTTAACACCACGGGTTCCCATTTGAATCATGTTTGCACAGTGCTGATATTGTTTGGCGACCCATGACACCCTTGAAAGGATCTCAAGGCACCGCAGGGTGCCATCACACCCAGGTTGCGAATCACTGGCTTAGCCAATTTCTGCTCCATTCAGCTCCCTGATGAGTGTCTGACACTCCAAGATAGCTGCACTGCTGAGACAGAGGGGCCCTGACTGCTGTCATCCCCCCGCTCCACTCTAGCTGCTACACTCCTCCCAGAGGTGGGGTTATAATCCAGGAGTCCTGATCCCAGCCCTTCCCACTCAAGCCAACTACATCCCATTCTCTACCCAGGCCTGTGGCTAGAACCCAGGAGTCCTGACATCCAGGCACCCTCCTCTAACCACTCTCTTTATATGGACACCCCAGGGATCCTTCTCAGTTCAGCATCTCTCCACTCCCCAATATAACCATACTTCTCCTTAATCAGGGATGCCATCCAATTTCCCCTTCCCTCTCTCTGGCAGGAAACTCAGGTACCTACCTGGAAGGTGGAGGCAGAGAACCAATAGGATGGCTATTTTCACACCAAGAGGTGCCCAATCCCTTCTGAGCATCATTTTGTCAGGCTGAGGAAGCAGGTAGGTTATGTCGATCCTGGAGAGGCTGTCAGCGTGAGCAGGTGGGACTCCCAACTGGGCTACAGGATGCCTCCTTATATCTCCAGCTGTGCTGGGCAGGTCTCCAAGCTGGGGTGTATTGCTCTCGGTTGCTGGGAGTGTCTCCTTGTTTCAAAAGAGGCAGACGCAGTGTTGCTAGAGCTTCCTCCTACAGGTCATGTGCCAAGCTGGAGCAGGGGTGATGAAATTAGCACCTACCATTTTCACCACCTGACCTAAATCTATTCCCAGTTTTAGGGAAAACCCAGGAGTCCTCCCACACTTCACACATCCACTCTAACCACTAGGAAAGCTTAGGAGGAGGACAAGGTTTACTACCCACAGGTAGTAAAGAACTGGAACAGGTTACCTAGAGAGGTGGTGGAAGCTCCATCCTTGGATGTTTTTAAGACCCAGCTAGACAAAACCTTGGCTGGGATGGCCCTGTTTGAAGCAGGGAGTTGGACTAGATGACCTCCTGAGGCCCCTTCCAACCCTCATGATCAGTGATTGTATGAATGATCCTAACTGGGGACTCAGTGGGAGTAATGTGGACAAGCATGAAGAAGACTGGTGTGTTTAGAAAAGAGAGTTAAAATCTGGATTCTGTGCCCAGCTCTGGAAGAGAAATGGGGTCTGGTGAATTAGAGAAGTGATATATGGTATGAGGGCAGTCCACCAGCTGTATCAGCCCCCATGAGGTAGGATCAGACCCCATGCTGCTCCATCCAGCCCCACACACTGGGATCAGGCCTCACGCCATCCCTGCCTGGCCCCAGGAGCTGGGATTGGGCCCTGCATTGCCTTGCGCACCTAATCTAGTACACAAGGCTGTGCTATCCAGCCCACAGGGTTTCCCCCAGGTCCAGAAATTTGGCAGCAAACAGCTGCAATTAGATTTTTTGGAACCACGGGGAAACCCACAAGCCAAACAACATGGCTCTGTGGGCTGGATATGGCCCATGGGCTGGGGGTTGAGCACTCCTGGATTAGAGCAAGAGCAGCCTGGAAGCCAGGACTCCTGGGTTCTAGTCTCAGTCTGCTGAAAGGAATACCATCTAGTGGCTACAGGAAGCGGGAGGCTGGATGTCTTTGTTCTGCCCCATGGAAAGAAAGAGTCTATAAGGTATCAACCTCTTCTGGCAGCTGATGTGTCCCCATTTCTGTCTGCAAACAGCTGTGTGTATACATGGTATGCTGTGCATGATAGCAATAATTAATAACAATCATTGCAACAGGCACTAATTTAGCAATGTTATCTTTGTGTAACACCGGGGAGTTGAGATCCAGTGACTGGCAGTGCCCAGCCCAAGGTCTCACCATGACGTGGGAATAAATTGATCCCCTGTCTTAACCAATAATTCCCTGAAATGCTTAAGACAAGGGGCCCACAGTCCTGGCTGTGACACATGGGGCTGGGTGCTGTGTGACCAAGGGCTGCCATTCACTAGATCTCAACTTCCGTATGTTACACAAGGATAATATTGCTCAATTAAAGTCTGTTGTGACTATTATTTTTAAGTTGTGGTATCATGTATAACATGCCGTATATACACATAGCTTTTTATATACAAAAACATGGAGGAAGGAAACTCCCCACCCCCATTCTGTAGCAATCTCCCAGCCAAGGTCTGGGAGTCTTGTCTCCTAGTCCCCTGCTCTAATCCATCTCCTCCCAGAGCCAAGGATAAAACACTCTGACCCACGAGAAAACCACTCCCATTCCAGACCTATGAAAAGGACCCAGGAGCCCTGGTTTCTGTGCACATATCAATCGCCCTGTGGCATGTTCTACTCTTCCCAATATTGTCCCCCTGGGCCACATCTGCAGTGCTATAAAGCTACATTAGAGGATGCCAGATAGGGGAGAGGCCCCAAGACAACCACCCACATCCCCAGACCTGGCTTGCATGCAAGCTAGGATGAGCATGGAAACATGGGTGGGCCAAGCTGCATTGCAGCACATCAACAGGCAGTTCCAGAGACCTTGCTCCTAAACAACTTGTCATCAGATGAAGCCGCCACATGCCAAGGGTTGGCCTTTCCACTACGTGGCCAGCTGCTTTGTCCAAGGTCCCCAAGCCTTGTAACTGGACTCACTCTGATGAGCAGACCCAGATGAAACATGGTTTTCCCACCCTGTGAAATTTGTAGCTGGTGTCAAAACTTTCCTTGTTCAGAAGTGGGACATATCCAAGAATTTACATGAGGAAAAGCCCCAGAATAGTTAATGGGCTGCTGGGCAGGGCACTCACCCAGGTTTTGTCCCGGCTCCCATGACTTGTTAAGTGTTTATACTATGGGTGTCAAACTCACCCCACCCTCCCCAAGCTGGATCTGGAATGTGGGGCTCTTCAAAGACTTGGATCTGGACCTGGTGGCCACAGGGCAAGTGGTAGCAGCAGCCAGGGCAAGTGGCAGTGGTACAAGTGGTGGTGAGACAAGGGGCACTGTGTTGACAAAGCCATCACTTGACCCCTGCCACCAAAGGCCATCCCCAACGGAGTGCTGTAGCCCCATATACTGCAGGCTCCATCCCAAAAGGCCTGGGTACACGAGGAGCCTCATGGGCTGGAAGAAATATCTCTGTGGTCCAGATCTGACCTGGTGCCCATCTTTCTACAAAAAATTCAGATTTTGAAAAATCTGTATTTTCCAGTGAAAACTCATTTCATCAGCTACTTCTGCTGATCACATCCACAGTCACTGAAGGTGTCAGCCATGGTTTTTCCATCTCTGTATTGGGAAAAATAATCCTTAGACAGAGTCCAGGATACAGAATTCTTCCGTGTTCATTCCTACCAGTCTCTTCTACCTCTTCTCATCTTCTTGCCTCTCAAAATGCGTCCTAATCTGCTACCATTGATCCAGATTAGTCACGTCAAGGTAACTGGGATCAAGACCTAATTCCACTGCCACCTGTGGGGTCAAAAACAGTTCCTGATTCTATTGACTGGCGTGGGGGTCACTCCAGGTTAATACTGTGATAACTGAAATCAGCATCTGCCACTGATTCTATTGAATCTTTTGGGGATGCTTCAGATTTACATCAGGGTCAGAATCCAGCATGTTTCATGGTGGCAGAGCCCCCAGATGGCAGCCCTGGGTGAATCTCTTTTCCCATTTAACTGAGTTAGGCAGTAGCTCCCCTAGGTTGCTTGGCCAGTTGACTGAGACTGTGAAACGTTTTGGGTTTCAGTTACTGTTTAATAATAGTTAGCTGCAAGTTTGCCCTGTAATAACCCCTGATTTGTTTAAACATTGCTTGTGAGTGGGGAAGTTTGCTCACTTTGGAACAGCTGGTTTAAAAGTGTTTTCCCAGGTCTCTGGGTAGGGGCTCCAGTCAGATTTGGAAAGTTTGTGTTAAACTTCTCATTTGAGTTTGACCTTGGTTACTGCTGTCCAGTTTCTGGAAGAAGGGCTGTACATACATACAAATGCAAGGAGTGTGGGAAACAAGCAGAATGAACTAGAAGTCATAGTATGTAAAAAAAACTATGCCCTAGTTGGCATTACAGAAAATTGGTGGTACAGTTGTCTGGAGTTGTGTGATCCCAGCGTGTGCTCAACCAGTGGCGGGGGGCCAGACTGGATGATCTATTCAGGTCCCTTCTGACCCCTAACTACTATGAAACTATGAAGCTCCTGTAACAAAAATGTCAATATCTCGATCAACTAGTCGATCATGGAGCCTCTGACAGTCGATCTCAGTCTGTCAGAGGCTCCACGATCAGGAGCGGCAGGACACACGTGGCTGGGCTGAGCCAAACGCCCTGCCACCCGGGCCGGGCTGGGTGAGTGGGATCAGAGCCCCAGCAGCTTGTCTGGGAGGCAGGGGTTAGGGGTCAGGGGGGCAGCAGGGATTAGGGGTCTTGTTTTGGAAGGATAGGGGCTGGGGGGAAAAAGGGGTGGTACTGATGTAAAAAATATATACTTATTTCCAGGAAAAAAGAAAGCAGCAAATCCAACTGTATCTGGGTGAAGATAAAGAAGGAAAAGAACAGTAGCGATACCGTAAGAAGGGTTTATTATAAACTACCAAGTCGGGGAGAAGAAGTGAGTACGGCATTCTTAAAGGGAGTAACAAAAATATCCAAAACTTTATGAGATACACTGACACCTGCTGGAAGAGTGCTACAGCAAAGTATGAACTGTCCAGTTAGTTTTTAACACATAGAGGGCAGCTCCCTGTTAGGGAAAGCTAAAGACTACAATAAAGGCTTATCTCTCCTGGATTTTGTTCTGACCAACAAAGAATTAGTTGTGAAGATGAAAGTGATAGGTAACTTGGGAGGAAGTGGTCAGGACATGATAGGATTCATTATTCTAAAAAGTGAAGGCATGATTTTTAGTGAAACGAGGATGCCGGAGTTCAAAAGAACCAGTTTTAAACAACTCAAAATAAAAATAGATAAGGTCACATGAGATGATTGAAGGATACAGGAATCCAGGATGGG